TATCCCTTGGTTGTTGCATACTAGTCTTCTCCAGTCCACCTTTTGAAAGAACCCCCTCATAAAGTTATACATTTTACTTGTTGAGAAGTCCTGTCGGAGATATGGTAAAGTATATCCAGCAGCTTCCACATTGGTCTTTGCTTTCATGATCTTCTGAATTACCCATGATGCTTGCTTAGCCTGAACTTCCTCACTTGGCTTTTCCTTTATGTAGTACATATGAACCCATGTAACCCACAATATGTCTTTCTTTTTGCAAAGATTCCACAATGACTTACAAATGGCAGTGTTGTTCCAGAGTGTTATGTCAGTTATATTCATCGCTCCAGTAGCCTTGGTCTTACATAAAGTATCCCATGCTATTAGTGCTTTCCTGGAAATACCAACTTCCCCAATCCACAAGAATTTCCTGCATATAGTCTCAATGTGTTTGATTATTTTCTTTGGCAAGATAAAGATTTGTGCCCAAAATGTTTGAATTAAAAAAGACACTCTTTATTAATTGAATTCTGCCTGCATAAGATAAGAACCTTGCTGTCCAACTAGTTACTCTTCCAATCATTTTCTCAATTAGCAGCTGGCATACGGAGCTACTGATAGCCTCTTGGTGCTAAGTGGCACTCCAAGATACTTAAAAGGTAGGTACCAAGCACCTCCGGTATTTGTTGTTGTACCATTGGATATACCCCCACTGAAATAGACTAAGCTTTTGGCACTGTTAGCTATCAATCCTGATGCCTTTGAAAATTCCTGGAAGCATTGGAACAATATTTTGACAGACTTAGCTTCACCCCTGCAAAACAGTAATAAGTCATCAGCAAAACCTAATTTCACCAGTTGCATTTTGGCACATCTTGGGTGGTACCTGAATTCAGGTGTTGCTTTCAGAGTCTTCAGCAATCGACTAAAGTATTCCATGGCTAATACAAAGAGAAAAGGAGACATAGGGTCTCCTTGTCTCAGGCCCCTCTTAGCTTCAAAAAGTCTTGAAGGCTTCCCATTAATTACTACTGAATAAGTGACAGTTCTTAGGCATACCATGATCCATCTCACAAACTTCTGAGGGAAAATAATATTAATTTCTTCTAAAAGAAGCAAAAAGGGAATGCTCTTATGCTAAACTTCTGGAGGGAAAACGGAAATCTATTTGCTTTTATCCTAAGCAAATAGATTTGCACGATGTGGAAAATATGGAAGAGATATAATATTAGTTCTTCTGTATATGATGGTTATTATCTAATGCACTTTTACAGGTTTCAAGATCGATTGGTGATGCATATTTGAAGAGAGCAGAGTTTAATAGAGAGCCTTTGCTTCCTAAGTTCAGAACTCCTGGAACATTCGAGAAGCCAATCCTTCTTGCCGAGCCATCAGTACTTGTGCACAGACTCCTTCCTTCTGATCAGTTTCTCATATTTGCATCAGATGGCTTATGGGAGCATCTCAGCAATCAAGAGGCCATTGACATTGTAAACAGCTGTCCACATCATGTACGGTCTTACTTATGTGTTGTCAAAGTTAAACTCTCTGTTTCTTGTTCTCTTTTCTTCTCAATGGTTAATCTGGCTTGCTATTTTGGCTCAATGGACGAGATTCTTAATTATGTTTCTATTTTAAATAAAGGTTTTGGAGAAAAAAAAAAGTACAATTGAAAAGTTGGTTAATGATTTAACAAGCCACTTTCAGGAAAAAGGGAAAGAAAGAAAGGAAAGTATACCAAGGAATTTGTGGAGGAAAATAACAGGTAGGGCAATCAATTGTGTTATTTTTGGTTTCAGCAAAAGAGAAAAAGAAGTAATCGGCAGAGGTTGTCTGCCATGGTTTCCAGTTTCTAGACATAATGCCCATGCTTATATTTTTAGTAGACGAAAATAATTTGCAATAGTATCCACTATGGCTATAAATGTGGTTGTGTATGTTTCTTTTGTTTTCTTGAAAACCTGTCTTCTTCAAGGAAAAGCATTTGACCGACTGCTGAACTTTCTTATGGTTATTCTGTGTACAAGTTGGTTATTTACTCCAGGTGGACTAATGTTTCTTTTTTTTTTTCTTTTTTGAAAACCTGTCTTCTTCAAGGAAAAGCGATTGGCCGACTGTTTAAACTTGCATAATGTTATTGTGTCCAAAAGTTGGTTATTTTCCGAGTGGACTAATGTATTTCAAAATTGTGCAGGGTATTGCTAGAAAACTTGTCAAAGCTGCCCTTCAGGAGGCAGCAAAGAAAAGAGAAATGAGATACTCGGACTTGAAAAAGATAGATCGGGGAGTGAGACGGCATTTTCATGATGATATCACGGTCATAGTTTTGTTTCTAGATTCCCATTTGATAAGTCGAAGTTCCTTCCACGGGCCAGTGATCTCAATTAAAGGAGGTGGACATCCTGGAGATTCCAATATCTAGAATGAGTTACCTACCTTTTAATCCACTTGGGCTGATATATGTTGAAACATTTCTCTTAAAACAGAAAGAGAAAGGAGAAAAGAAAAGGACAAAAGTAGTAGTATGTGAAGCTTTTGCTTCTTGGAATCTCACCATAAATGGTAAGTTGATGATTATGCCTGGAAAAAGATTCTGTCAAAACTCTCTGCTGATTGGCATATGAAACCTGGAATGTTATGGACTAAAGTGGTGAGGTAGAAAGCAGAAAATGACAAGTTCAGTTTTTGAAGAGATGTTTAAAACTCAAAAATTCTAATACTTGAATTTCATTTCCTGAATTAAACCGGTATTCTGTCAAAAAAATCTTTTGCAAATCAAATTTTTGCGCTCTATATATATACATGTTCGCAGTTATTTGACTTGGAATTTCTTTGTATCTCTGTATATGCATAGGTCTTATTCCAATATCTTGGAAAGTAAGGTGAGCTACTTATCATTTCTATCGATATTACTTAATTCTTTTATGCACAATAGTGTGTCATAGGTACTATTTCCACACTGAAATGGTATGGTATTTGGATATGTTCTATGGGGATGTTCTTGGGTAGAAATATACTTTTGGCCCTGTCAGCCAAAGACCTATTTCCGAAATGTTTTCTTTTCTTTTCTCAAAGATAGTTACACAACAGGTGTAATTTAACCTATTGCAGCAAATTTTTAGTTTATTGCCTTATTTTCCAGTCCCAGTTGTTATGAGTTGCTACATGTAACATTTAGGTAACCTGATTGTGTAATTCTTGTACATCGTTCGTGTATATAAGTGAAACTCCTGTCAAATGGCTTTTTCCCTACTTGTGAAATTTAAGGATACCTAGTTTTTTTTTTTTCCTATTCTTTTTTTAGGTGTTAATAAGTTACAGCCAAATGATTGGTAGATTTAGAAGTATATCTGGCTTGTACTGTTCTGTGCTTTCAAACATTGTGTAGAAATTATTGGAAATCCATAGCTGTGGAATATTAGGTGCCAAAATCAGCAAATGATTTCCCTATTTTTCAGGTATGTTTAATTAGTGAATTTTCAGAAATCACTATTGTTTAGTGGCTATTAACTTCATATAGCTACCATATATATATAATTACTTCCTATAATTACTATTCAGTTGTTACAGTAGTGTATTCACATGTATTCGTGCTGTTGTATTCATGAATACAGCAGCAAAAAGCGCCTAAAATCAGGGGAGTCCAGTTGTACGCACATGTATTCACATGTATTCGCACCATGTATTCATGAATACAACAGTAAAAAAATACCTAAAATCAGGGCAGTCCAGTTGTACGCGCATGTATTCGCGCTGCTGTATTCATGAATACAACAGTTAAAAAGTGCCTAAAATCAGGGCAGTCCAGATGTGTACACATGTATTCGCGCCTTGTATTCATGAATACAGCAGCAAAAAGTGCCTAAAATTAGGGCAGTCTAGCTGTACGCGCATGTATTCACATGTATTCGCGCTACTGTATTCATGAGTACAGATGTACACGCATGTATTCACATGAATACAGTAACGGCAATCCCTTAAAAATAGGTATGTCCAGCTGTCTAAGAGAGAGGAAAAACATAAATAGCGTATTTCATGCCTCAATGGTAGTATATACCATAAAATACTTATTTTGCTATAAAATATAAAAGGTAACTATAGAAAATAATATTTTAAAATAATTTTGATTTATAATAAATAGGGTATACCTTTGTTATAGGAGGTAAAATTTTCATGTTTAATACATGACGAGCTCATAAGAAGAGGGGAGTGGGGTAAATATAAAAAGCAAAAACCTTGTGAAAAAAAGGTATGATTATTTTGTAAAATTATGAGTAACATGATATAAAAGAACAATATTCCAAATTATAGGACCCCGCAAGCCATCCTTTGTGTAAGCAAGCCTCGATATGCACTGGGTTTTTTTATGTGAAGATATGATGATTGAAGATGTAAAAAGAAGAAGAGGTAATGTTAAAATTACATGAAAGAAAAATTTTATAATATCTCAAAATTCAGACATATCAAACAAAATATAGAAAATGATAGAAGTTGAAATTTATATAGATGATACCTACTAAAAAACTTGTTTATTAGAAGACTCTTAGTATATTAAAGTTATAAGTACTTGATAAAATTTAAATATGAAGTATTTTTTATATAACATACAAAAATATATATACAAAATATATATATTTTTTCGCCTATTATTTTGAAAGCGGCTATACAGTGTCATTTTTACAAAATATTATGGACCTAAAAAATCAATATGACATTGATAATTCATATTGTCAAAACCAACTAACTTGAGATTGAGGCTATTTATCGTTAGTTGTTGCACGAAAATCAACTCGAGAATACCTTGTTAACCCAAAATCATGAAAAGCTAACAGAATATATATATGCAGGTCCTTTGAATGTCACATTTTATTGGACTTCAAGGAGAAGGAAATTCTGTATTTGCTCGTGCTTATATATATATATATATATATGTTACGATGTTCTAAGGGTTGATATACATGGACGCCACTATTGTTTTATCATCACTTCACTAGAATTAGACTTTAAAAAAACAGCTTTAATATATATGAGATACTTATATTTGACAAAAAACCATCCCACACCCAGAGTACACATTAGTAAATACAAAAGGAAAGAATTTTTTGTTAAAAAAATACTAATACAAGGGCAGAATTTTGAGGAGGTGTGCAACTTCTTCATCACAACTACAAGCATCACAACGAAAATCATCATCATCTTCGTCGTCACTGTCAAAAGAAGGCCATTGACGCCACTTATTTTTGTAAGAGCGCTTATAATGAAGGGTGCAGCAATATGGGTTTTGTGCCAAGAAAATTGGATTCACTACCCAAATACTATTCAATATTTCAACCAAGTTTTTTCGGTACTCTCCTAATGCTCTCCTCATTGGCTTGTTTGCTTTCATTTTGCCAATCGCAGCTATGCCATTTTCCTTTAATTCTCCACCTATCAAAACTTGGATTATGCTTATTACATATTCTGCTCCAAGGTGTCCTCCTTCTGCAGCTTTAACTAGGCATTCTATTGCATATTTTGGCCTTTCTTTCCGAAAGAAATCAATCTAAAGTCGCAGAAAAAAATACTTAAATATCCAAAGGAAGAATAAGTTAATATATTGATATATATCTTGTAATCAAAAGCCTTTTTTTAACAGAAATAAAAAATAATAGGAAATGATTCTATTAATTGATTAATTAGCTAACTAATTAGGGATGAAACAACTAGAACGATATTTTTCTTTCCCGCAATATTTAGGAAAATTAGAACAATAATGTTAATTTGAGTACACGGCAGTACTTTTGCATGTTAATATCCTTATGTATTCTGAATATTAAAAAAATTAAAAATCGATTTGTTACTTTCCATGCATCGATATAACTAAGTAATAATACAATTTTATTGTCCTTTTTCTTTTTTTCTTTTTCTTCTTTCCCTCTGGGATGTAATATAGTTTCAGCTGAACCCAATACTTTTGGTGCAAAGTGTAAATTTATGTGTAAAAATTATTATAATTATTATAAATAGTAGATATAAACTCTCATAACTTTAAAAATATAATGAGTTCAATGCTAAAAACTTTAAATATTCCCCTGAAACATATCACATATACCATGCAAAAATACATTCATCCACAATAAATATTAATTGGACGAAAGAAATCAAAAGAAGTATAGAATGAATTACGCGAAAGAATATATTACTTACCACACCTTTTCGGTACAACGCTTCAGCATTCCCATTCTCTCTACACATTCTCATGAACAAAGAAACCTTTTTTTCCTTCTCTTCCTTGTCTCTTTTCCATGGAGGTCCTAGAGGGAATTCCTCCATTGACATGTGACGATAAATATATTGATCGTTCGAAACTCCATTGAAGATTTTACAACTGACATGAATATATATATATATATATATATATATATATATATATATATAATATACATGTCAAAAGAAAATTAAAAACAAATAAGAAAATATATAGAATGCAACATGTAGAAACAATTAATGTTGACGAAATACAAACCTCAGCTTGGCATTGATATAATCTGTAAAAGAAGAGAAAGCAACTCTTGCAATAACTTCAGAGAGCAGCTCATTCGGAAGAGATTTGATATTGGAGGAATTGACAACTCTCTTTTTTAGCTTTTTGTTATATTTTGTTGGTCTGTTTTTCATTATTTCTCTTGATGAATGACTTATCACCATTGTGATGCCTAATAGTGGGGAAAAAAGAAGATTTTATAGTACGTAGCTGATCAATCTCCTATATATTTTCCTTGTTTGAGTAGAATTCGGTGTTAGGAAAAAGAAAAGAACTGAAATTTTTTGTTTAGTTTCTTCAACTTTTCTGTTGTTATCAGGTGGTATCGAGAAATATAAAAAAGTACATAGCGCCGCTTGTCCACTCCTTTTCCTATGCGTATTTGGAACAATCTGTCCACTTTGTAAAAAATCAAAAAATTGGATTACTAATTAAGAAACTTCTTTTCAATGACTTAATATATAATTGGTAGTATAAAATATTGAACCAGCTTCCGGATTTCTAGTTGAAAATGAAAAATAACTCAAACTTTGAATGGTATTGGGTGTTGGGAAAAGAATTTCTTACAAAATAGCCAAATATTGTTAGGAGTCCTGAATTTCTCCGTATTAGAAGGTGATATAAATTGCACCACTATTTCACTCCTTTCTTATGTGTACTTTATTTTCTCATCCCTTTCCTATGTGTACTTAGGGACTAGTAAGTTTCTTGCCATTATAAAAACTTTCTTTCCACTTTGTAAAACAATGAAAGTTTTATGAACATCAATTTTTCGATAAAAGAAAGGACTCAATTTTAGAAAACTCAATAACATTTCTATAAAGTTAGCTTTCCGCTCTAGTAACTGGTAAAAAGTAACTTTTAAACTATTGTCTTGACAATATAAACAACTTTTACCTATCAATGTATCACCAGTTGTTACAAAATTAGGTTTATCACACAGAGTTGCATGTTATTGTAACAATATTAGGAATATGTATCTCAAAAGAATTAATACAACTAGGAATGGAGGAAATATATTAGTGCTCCCGCATTAATTATATCATAAAGGTATTAGTTTCACTTTTTTTCATAAGAAAAAATACAATAGTAAGTGCATTATTGCATAGAAGTATATTTTCCAGTTAGAATCCAGATTACACGCTGCTGTTGAGAGACTTCATTGTCTCTCTGTTAAAGAATGTAGAGGAAAACCGAATAGTGATGACATCCTGCATCGTCATTTATCTTTCTGTCTATGTCTAAACCAAATATATTTTGGGACATTAGAATTGAGTCAGTAATTTCTTCCACCGTCCTCAGGAAGACAGCTTCTCCTTGCACGCATCATCAGTATGTATCGCTTAGTGGTCAACAGCAAGAAGCATAAGCCAAAATTGCTACATTAACAATACTTTCCATATTTTTCTCATATACACGACCAGAGACCATACAGCGAGCCATGCTGATATATATAGCAAGATCACACCAGAACCCACAAGAGTTCCAACCCCAGATAAACTAGAGAGAAATAAGTTAAAAGAGGTCAAAGAATTATTAGATTTCAATCACGGCTCATGCAAGAGACTGAAAACAGAAAGTTACCTGATATCTCTGGCTAGCAGGAGGATGGTCAATGCAGTCATCTGAGTTGCTGTTTTCCACTTCCCCAGGTTATTCACAGCTACAGCCTGAAAACTTTATCAGTTACTAATGCAACAAATAAAGCAGGAAAGTATTAGTCTACAAAATACCATGGAAGGTGGGTCTTGAACCTCTGAAAGTTTACCACCCTGAGAAGCTGCCCATTCTCGAACTGCAGACATAGTAATCTGCGAAACAATTTTGCAATTAGATAGATTTCTGAGGCACAAGGAAGAGACAAATGGAAAGAAAAAAGAAAAATGTATCTCCAATTACAAGATTTATTTAGTATATCACCCTTTCAGTTACAGCAACTTCCATGTTAAATTATACAAACGTGTATGACAAAGTGTTAGAGTGTGTCCTAAGGAAAGAAATAATTGTTGACCTAAAATTCAAATGCCAAGATATGATGAACATTTCAACTTAACTGTTACCTAAGTTTCTCAAACTGTACAATAAGAGTTCACATCCATATTCTCAAGAGTGTTTGCTAATTAACTTACCCATCCACATGACTTTGAAGAAAAGCATATTTTCCCGGAATCAAAAATGATAACCTAGATATATCAAAAATGATACTACCTTCTTTTCCCGGAATAAATCATAAAATCTTCCATTTTGTTAACACAAAGAAATTGAGATATGGGGAGGGGGCACAGAAATTATTTGCTCTTTTGCACCAAAAAAACCATTTGTGACAGATAAATTTCTACTTAAGTAAAGCTTCATAGAGAGGAAATGTAGAGTGCTAATACGATCAAAATCTTTCTAGAGGAACACTCACTCTTTCTACTTTAGAAAACACCTTTATTTTGAGTTTAAGAGACAGAAATATAGCAACTTACTTCAAAAACTGTTTGGAGAAAAGAACTATGAATCTCAAATAACTAATTTGCCCAAATCTATCTATATCTATCTATATAGAATAGGAGAAGCAAAAGCATTATATTACGACAAGTGGCATTGTTAATGCAAATAAACTACCTTTCTAGCTAAAATGTTTTTTGAATTTTAAATTTTGAATTAATTAGTTACTCTACTTGAATTAATAAATATAAATATCTTATAAAAAAATATTAAAAAAAATAAACAACTCATTCAGATTGGGGAGTAGTTTCAAGTTGGAGTTTTAATATTATTTTAAAATAAAAAATAAAAAATTACCAATTCAAATAGAGTAATTTCTTCCTAATATAGTAGTCTCTTCTCTCTCTCTCCATATATATATATATA